CTGGACGCAGTACTCCAGCTGCGGCCTGACCAGTGCCGCATAGAAGGGGAGGATCACCTCCCTGGACCTGCTTGTGATGCATGTGTGGATGCACGACAAGGTGCAGTTGGCCTTCCTGACTGCATCCCCACACTGCCGGCCCATGTTCATCTTGGCATGAATGATGACTCCAAGATCCTTTTCTGCCTCTACACTGATGGGAAGGGAGTTCTCCAGCCTGTAGGTATGCTGCTGGTTGTTCCTCCCCAGGTGCAGCACCTTGCACTTGTCAGTGTTGAATCCCATCCTGTTCTCATCTGCCCACCCCTGTAACCTGTCTAGGTCTGATTGGAGCCTATTCCTCCCTTCTAGCATGCCCACATCCCCCCACATCTTAGTGTAATCAGCAAATTTGAACAGGTGCTTTTTACCGCCTCGTCAAAGTCGCTGATGAAGATGTTGAACAGTGCGGGCCCGAGGACCGAGCCCTGGGAGACCCCACTGCCCACGTCCCTCCAGGTCGAACATGACCCGTTCACCACCACTCTCTGGGTGCGGCCCTCCAGCCAATTTGTGACCCATCTGACTGTGTAGGCACTGACGCCACAGTCACCCAGTTTCTTAATGAGAATGGGGTGAGAGACAGTGTTGAAGGCCTTTCTAAAGTCCAAAAAGAGTATGTCCACTGTGACACCTGCATCCAAAGATTTTGTGACCTGGTCATAGAAAGCCACCAGGTTGGTCTGACAGGACCTACCGCTAATGAACCCGTGTTGGTTACCCCTAAGCATAATCTCCCCCGCTGGCCCCTCGCAGACATGCACCAGGATAACTCTCTCAAAGAGCTTCCCCAGGACCGAGATAAGACTGACTGGCCTATAGTTTCCTGGGTCCTCCTTCCCCCCTTTTTTGAAGATGGGAACCACGTTGGCCCTCTTCCAGTCCTCTGGCACCACACCAGAGCACCACAAGTGCTCGTAAAGCCATGCCAGGGGTCCCGCAATGACCTCTGCTAATTCCCTCAGCACTCTGGGGTGGAGATCTTCAGGACCTGCTGATTTAAATACGAGACAGCCCTGCTAGTGTGAAGTCAGGTAGAAAGCAGGGCAGGGTAGCACCTTATAGACCAATGCATTCAGAGAGGCATGAAATAGTCGGTAAGGTGCCCTGGCCTTCTTTCTACTGATGTTAAACAAGCTTGACATGAATCTGTCCTCTTGAAAAAAATCATAGCATCAGAGGCAGTGAGGGTTGGGAGGGACCTCAGGAGGTCACATCTCGTCCAACCCCCTGCTCCAAGCAGGACTAGCTCCCACGCCATCATCCCAGCCAGGGCTTTGTCTGTTAGGGTCTTCAAAACCTCCAAGGATGGAGATTGCACCACCTCTCTAGAGAGCCTGTTCCAGTGCTTTACTACCCTCCTAGTGAGAAAATTCTTCCTAATATATAACCTCAACTTCCCTTGCTGCAACTTGAGACCGTTGCTCCTTGTTCTGCCATCACTGAGAACAGTCCAGCTCCAGAACTATTTGCTTTTCAGGGGTGAAGTGTCCTAGACAAACCAAACTGGTTTCAGAAAAGATGGATTCAAGCCAGAAGAGGTGCAGAGAAGAGCTACGAAGATGACCAGGGAAGCATGGAGGCTATCCGGCAAAGGAAAACCACATGTGCTTGGCTGCTTAAGCCTTGCAAAACGAAAGCCAAGAGGTATCCAACTGCTGCCTATAAATACAAGGGGGGCAGGACAAACACCAGGGAGCGAGAGGAGCTGTTTCAACTACAGGATGATGCCAGCTCAATAAACAGGTCATGACTACATTTAGGCTGGAAATCAAAAGGATCCCAAGCACCAGAGCTGGGAGGAGCAGGAAAGGCCTCCCCATCAGAACAGTGACAACAAAACTGTGACATCCAAGACGGAGCTCAGTGAGCTTACAGAGGGGTCTACAGGCTGGTCCTGCTTGGAGCAGGGGGTTGGACTAGATGTGACCTCCTAGATCCCTTCCAGCCCTGATCTTTTCACTATATTTCACAAGTTTTGTTTCCTAAGAATCAGGCCGGCTTGCATGTGACATTCAGTTGGCAGATGTGGGAGCTCTGAGTGCACCCCACTGCCATGTAGGCCTCTAGTTCAAAACAACTAACAAATGAACCTGAAGTGCTCCCTCCCATGGAAAACATTTAACCAAACAAGCAGCTCAACATCCTTTGCAAGCCAGCACAAGGATGCCAAGGCCGTTCCTGCGCTTGTGATTTAATGTCTTGCAAGGATACCACGGGGCCCCGGTGGAATGATAACTGCTTCATGGAAGCACAGATCACTGGATGTCAGCCCAGAGCAACACAACTGATAAAGGTCAAGACTGTTGTTACCTACAAATACCCTTACAGGCTATTGATTCTCCGCACAGGAAAACGGAGCCCAATGAATCAGCATTCAGGCTACAGGGAAAAGGAAAACATCGGCCCTTCCAAATCAAAGGCTCCTGCATGTCTCCAGCATAGAAAACCATCCCCTTCCAAACACTCCAACCACCAGCATTTATATCTCAGATAATTTTAGCTAGATTAGGCTGCTCTCTTTAGGCATGGTCTACACCAGCGGTTCTCAACCTTTTCTGTACCAGGGCCCATTTGTAAACATCAATGGCCAGTCTCAACCCAGTGCCCCTCACTCCTGACCCGCTGCCTCACGCCCCCAGATGCCAGGGTGTGGGGCGGTGGGTGGGTATGTAGGGCATGGGGGGCCCCCGAGCAGCCCCTTGCAAGCTGGAACTCTGACAGCCTGCAAGGGAAAAGCCACGGTTTCCCACTTTTTTCTCCGTTAAGGAGAATCTGTTTTTAAAGTTTGTTGATGAATTTTTAAACATTGTTTGCGATCCTTTCAAATATTCTTGCAACCCGTGGGTTGAGAAATGCTGGTTTATGCCATTTCTACAGCAAGAAAACTATTGTGATTAGGGACATGTGTTTTGATTTTACCCACAATTATATCAAATCCACACTTGGTGCATAAAGTTGCATGGGAGTAGTTAGACTGGTATAATGTGTTCCCCACGGTGTACCTGCCTCCACAACAAGAAGGATGTGGGGACTATACTAGCATGCAGAGTCAGGGAGACTCCCAAAGCACGTTTTCTCCCAGCTCAGTGAAAGCGTCCACTCAAGAGAAGGGCAAAAAAAGCACAAGGACATCCTCAAGGCCAATTTGAAGAAATACATCAGCATCAACATATGGGACACTATCACCCAGGACTGCCCCAAAAGGAGAAAGAGTCTACTGTAAGGATCTCAGGACTCTGAAACTTTACAATGACAACACGAGATGGAAAAGCGGGAAAGGCAGAAACAGCGTATCGTGGACCGAACTGAGAAACCAGAGCCACCCACCCCGCACAGAAACACGTGTCTGAGCTACAGC